TAAGTCGACTGTGCGGATTTGTCATGTATCTACGAAACCTGGAGTCCACAGAGGCGGTATTTGGCTAACTGAAGCAAGCAGTGCGCAAATATTTTGACTTTGTGAATAAAGTACACATTTAGGTGTAACCCCACCTTAGTGCCTCGGTAGACACCCCGTAAAAGCAGAGGGGCGTTGCCCTTTCGAGTGCGCAAGTACACCTATTTCGGATAAGGTAGATCTTATTTAATAAACATTTCATAAAAAATGAAGCAAAGTGCTTCGGCATTTCCACAGACCCTCTCTGTCTTAAAGTTCGTATTTACTGGCTTGGAGTCTGCAGGAAGCGCAGTCGTTGATGTACCTTGAACAGTCAGACTTTAAATGTGTCACCTCCAACTCGTGCGGAAAGTGTCATTCATATTTCATACAACACGCGCACCACTTCAGTACTTTGAGTTGTTTGTTTGTGAAGGTGAAATTGCAGTCTCTCTCGCTATAGATACCGGGCATGCTTGATAACCCGCTCGTTTTACTTCGGTACTTTCTGCATTCGGTAAATTCTCAGATCGACTGTCATCCTGGCGTTTAGTGCACAAAGCCGAGGGATGCTTGCTCTCATCCGTTCATATATGCAGAGGCTAAAAATCAAAGACCGATTTCACCCGAAGGAAGAACCCAGGTTCGAGGAGGGAGGCCCTAAGCAAACGCTTTACCACCTGGGCAGAAATGCACCCCTCGTAGTAATCTATCCGGATTGTCATGAGAGTGAAGGTCATCAAGCTGTCCAGACTATGGCTATTTAGAGTCGTAGTCGGCCATAGTGGTCTCCGCCATGTCGGTGTCAGTGGTACTTTTCAACCACTGAGTACTAGTTAAACTACGACCGGAGACAGGCAGGCCGGACACGTCCATACCCTGACGGATCGGTAAACGTCACTTACATGCGGCTATTTTTTTTACTTTTGTCAAAAAAGCTTTTCAGGAAAGTTTCTTCAGGTCTAACCACTGCGTGAACCCTTATCCTTCCTATCTTGCTTACCACGAGCACTCTTTAGTGTTAACGAAGTTATGAGTTTAAACTGCTCAGAGGAACGGGACATTTTTTGGGTTCCTTAAATAGTTTAAGATAAGAGATGAGAATAGGGACCCCCTGTGGTGGAGGTGGCCTTGCAGTAAATTTCAGGAAGCGTACGTGTATGCGGTTTATGAGCTAGCTTGAGCTCAGACTGCCTGTCGCAAAATTCCGGGGAGAGTAGAGCCATTATCCCAACCCAACCCAACCCAACCGCTGACCTTAATCCTAAACTTAACACTAGCCCCACTTGCCCCAGTATGTTAGGGCGGGGCCCCTGGAATAAGGGCGGAAGGGGGAGGGGCATACTTATTCCCCTATTTGCCGAAAGTGTCTCTGGCCTTCTTCTCCGCTAAATGTCCCTGATCCAAGAAGTAGGTCTTCGAGCATATACGGATTTCGAGGAACCATCTATAGGATTGCTGAAAATATCCTCTTCCTCGATTCTCGAAAAGCGAACGAAAATTCTAGACTGCTGAAGTATGCAGTGCCACCCTGAAAGATTGCGCGTTGACACGAGGATATACGGTTTTTAACGCATATTTTTCGCCGATAAGTTGCATTCAGTTTGTTGAAAATTCATTTAGAACACACTTTACAACCCCGTAAACCAATAGGGGTCAAATATAAAGGTTGAGCCAGCTCTGAAGGCTGCCAAGAATTGATTGGGTAAAACACGGAAATAGGGACCTGTAAGTAATACACATGGTCTTGCACTCATTTCATGGAAAGGTACATATTGCCATGTTCCAACCCTCATTTCCCAGGAAATTACCACAAGGCTACTTTTATTATTGGGGTGGGATCCTGTTCCTGTGTCCTACTTAATCCAAAACTACAAACAGCTACCTTCCTTGACGCAGTACTTTACCACCGGCATTTGTCTCAACATGGTCCTCCGGCCCGACTTGTTGTCCTTCCAGGCTTTGTGATTTATTCGTGCTCACCTTTTCTTAACGGCCGACTATGGTCTTTTATAACTTTACCTGACGCTGGCTCTCTGTATTGTTTTTTTTATTTTCCAGTATTAGCTCGCAATCATATTTTTGAATTTCGTCCACCTGAACGTACATATTTATATCCTGCTTCTCTCTGCTTGCATTTTAACTGTTATACACCTGACCTCTTTCCCCGGTTTTTCCCTGAAATTATAAGCAATTAAAACCTTCTTTCAAATTCATGTTGCCGTATGGCCTTTGGCGCCCTAAATTTGGCGCGTTTCGGATATAAACAGGAACTTTGAACCTAATTCATCGCATATCTCCAATGTTGTGTGATTGGGGCAGCCAAACTGCTTATGGCAGGTAATTCCTTTCAATTGCGCCCCCCTAAATTCGACCGTTTGAGAAAAACGGCGAACGTCTGGATGCCAAAACTGGCTTGGGCTCGCTTGGATGCTACCGGAAACTCTATTTTGCAACTCTTCATTGGAATGGTTTTCATAGATGCTTCAGCCATCTTTGTCATCACCAAAACTCAGTCTCCCCCACTTGGTCTGGTATCTTTTGTGGTCAGGACGCTTTGTGCTTCCAATGTTATCTCCTTTTTTTTTTCCTGAAGGAACCTGGTTGGCTGTATGGAACCAACAAGCGTACGGGCAAATCTGGTCTGTTCCCCTCGAACCATGTGAAAAAGGCTGACTGAGGACAGTAACAAGCAGTTGTTTGCGCAAACGTCGTACAACGACACTAATCTTTGCACTTGCATACACAGACAGACGCACTGACCTGCAGTCTTTCTCCTCCCCCCGCCCTCTTGTACTGTCCTTCTTTTAGTGACCCCTCCTACTGCCCTCTTTCATTACCTGCAACGTTTATGTGGTTTCGCCTGGCCTTCCATGTGGACCGCCTGCCCCCCTCTCGTTTGTGGCGCGATTAACTGCCCACACAGTAATGTGCTTACTCGCAACATCCACCATGCTCTCTCGCCATTTTGAATGTATGTATTTTTGTTAAACCATAGGCCTCATCTTGACTTTG